AGAATCAGGTTAACAAGAAAGTGAAGTGTCTGAGAACAGACAATGGTTTAGAGTTCTGTAACTCTAGGTTTGATTCTTACTGTAAAGAACATGGCATTGAGAGACACAGGACCTGCACATACACTCCTCAGCAAAATGGAGTAGCAGAAAGAATGAATAGGACTATTATGGAAAAAGTAAGGTGTTTGTTGAATGAGTCAGGAGTAGAAGAGGTCTTCTAGGCTGAAGCAGCTGCCACTGCAGCATACTTGATAAATAGATCTCCTGCCTCTGCTATTGACCACAATGTACCAGAAGAGATGTGGCTTAATAGGAAACCCGGTTACAAGCACCTCAAGAAATTTGGATCCATTGCCTATGTACATCAGGATCAGGGAAAATTGAAACCAAGAGCTCTAAAAGGTTTCTTCCTAGGATATCCTGCAGGAACCAAAGGCTACAAGGTTTGGTTACTTGAAGAAGAAAAATGTGTCATCAGCAGAAATGTTGTGTTTCAGGAATCAGTGGTCTACAGAGACCTTAAAGAAAAAGAAGATGACACTGACAATGAGAAACTGAATCAGAAAGAGACTACATCGTCAGAAGTTGAGCAGAATAAGTCTGCAGAGGCTAGCGGGTCAGGTGGAGTTATTCAACTTCAGAGTGACAGTAAGCCGATTACAGAAGGTGAACAGAGTTCTGATTCAGAAGAAGAGGTGGAGTACTCTGAGAAAACGCAGGAGACTCCCAAAAGGACAGGACTGACTACATATAAGCTTGCAAGGGATAGAGTCAGGAGAAACATCAACCCTCCGGCTAGATTCACAGAAGAAAGCAGTGTGACATTTGCATTGGTTGTTGTGGAAAACTGCATTGTACAGGAACCACAGAGTTATCAAGAAGCTATGGAGAGTGAGGACTGTGAAAAATGGGACATGGCTACACATGATGAAATGGATTCATTAATGAAAAATGGAACCTGGGATCTTGTGGACAAGCCTAAAGACAGAAAGATTATTGGATGCAGGTGGCTGTTTAAATTGAAGTCTGGAATTCCTGGTGTGGAACCAACAAGGTTTAAGGCACGTTTGGTAGCCAAAGGCTATACTCAAAGAGAAGGAGTGGACTATCAGGAGATATTTGCACCTGTGGTTAAACATGTTTCGATAAGAATTCTAATGTCTTTGGTGGTTGATAAGGACTTAGAACTCGAACAAATGGATGTTAAGACGACGTTCTTGCATGGTGACTTGGAAGAAGAGTTGTACATGGAGCAACCTGAAGGCTTTGTGTCAGATTCAAGTGAGAATAAAGTTTGCAGGCTCAAGAAATCCTTGTACGGATTAAAGCAATCTCCTCGGCAGTGGAACAAGAGATTTGATCGTTTTATGTCAAGTCAACAGTTCATCAGGAGTGAACATGATGCCTGCGTCTATGTCAAGCATGTAAGTGAACATGATTTCATCTACTTACTGCTTTATGTTGATGATATGCTTATTGCTGGAGCTAGCAAGGCTGAGATTAACAGGGTTAAAGAACAGTTAAGTACTGAGTTTGAAATGAAGGATATGGGAGCTGCTAGTCGGATTCTTGGTATTGACATTTACAGAGACAGAAAAGGTGGAGTTTTGAAGCTGTCTCAGGAAATCTACATTAGAAAGGTACTGGACAGATTTAATATGAGTGGAGCTAAAATGACTAACGCACAAGTTGGTGCTCATTTCAAGTTAGCTGCAGTAAGGGAGGAAGATGAGTGTGTTGACACTGATGTAGTCCCATACTCAAGTGCAGTGGGGAGTATCATGTACGCGATGCTTGGTACTCGTCCTGATTTAGCTTATGCTATTTGTCTGATCAGCAGATACATGAGCAAACCTGGTAGTATGCACTGGGAAGCAGTTAAATGGGTTATGAGGTATTTGAAGGGAGCTCAAGACCAGAACTTGGTCTTTACAAAAGAAAAAGAATTCACTGTAACAGGATACTGTGATTCTGATTATGCAGCAGACCTAGACAGAAGGAGATCCATAAGTGGATATGTGTTCACTATTGGTGGCAATACAGTGAGCTGGAAGGCGAGTCTACAGCCGGTGGTAGCTATGTCTACTACAGAAGCAGAGTACATTGCACTAGCGGAAGCTCTAAAGAAGCAATGTGGATTAAAGGACTGTTACAAGACATGGGAATGCAGCAGGATAAGGTAAAAATCTGGTGTGATTCACAGTTTGCAATTTGTTTGTCTAAGAACAGTGTTTATCACGAACGGACTAAGCACATAGATGTGAGGTTCAATTACATCAGAGATGTTGTAGAGTCTGGTGATGTGGATGTGTTGAAGATTCACACGTCGAGAAATCGTGTAGATGCACTAACCAAGTGCATTCCTGTGAACAAGTTCAAGTCAGCTTTAGGTGTTCTGAAGCTGATGAAGTGGGACTGAGTTTGCTCAGCTCAAGCCAGAGGTAAAGTCCAAGTAAGTGCAGTTCATGATATTGAGATGGGAATGGGATCAAGGTGGAGATTGTTATGATTATGATCCAATTCGGGTTTAATGTTGGTCTGGTGATATTTGGTTTAGCAGCAGATTGGAGTTGGTTATTGAAGCGGTTAGCTTTGGTTTACAGAAGAAGGTAGTTTGATTGGAAGACTCTCATTCAGAAAGAGGCTTCGAGACTCGAAGTCAAACACATATAAATAGAAGTCTGTTATCTTCTTCTTCTTCATTCCGTTAGAAAGTTGTTGACAATTTCTCTTAAACCCAGAAAATTAGGGTTCTTTGTTGATCTTGTATTGAGCTCAGAGAAGCTTGTAAACATCTCATATAGTAGATTGCCGGATCTATCTGGCCCCTGACGTAGATCTAATCACATCGATTAGATTGAACTGGGTAACAAATTCTTGTGTGTTGTTCTCTGTTTTTCGTTCTCTGTTTCTTCTTTGATTCACACAAACAAACTTCAATTGAGAGATTGAGAGCAAACAGAGTGAGGCTCGTGTTCGTATTGGGATCTGTTTTACAACAATCTCTTTATATATTTTACGTCAATTCTTCATTTCACTTCATACTTTATTTAAATTACAAACACATAGTACAACCACGTATGATGTTTTATAGGATCAAAATATATAAATTAGTATATGAAAGAGATTAACTGTTTATGGAAGAGATTAGAGTGGGATAAATATTTTTATAAGACAAAGCTTTTATGATACAAGAACACTCTCAAGAGAATACAAAGGACTCTTAGGATTTTAGACACTCAAGCTTTTGTTCAACTCTCTTCACCAAACTTGGTATATATAGTAAATAGCTTAAAGAATATTACAAAGCATATTCCTTTCACACATATCTACCCACACACTACACACTTTAAATCAAATCTTCATACCACACATTTTACATCATATCTTCACACAACACATTTCACATCAATGCTTTATTTCACATTAATACTTCACTTCATACTTACATTTCATGTCTTTATTTATTTCATATCAATTCTGCATTACACATCATAATTTGTTTATCCATGTTTCCAAAAGAGAGGTAATGTCCACCATAGTCGTTGTCGTCTTCTTCACTGTCAGAGGCTTCAACCGTCACATAGATGTTTTGTCCGGGATGTATTTTTTGAATTTGTACCTTTTTCCATTGACTTTGTAGATAGGATGATGTGGATGAGAGTGTGGCCACGCTTATTGATCATGAAAGCCTGCTAGTACTTTTTATATTTTGTCCTCAACTCCTAATGGAAACACGTCTCTATTATGCCAATGTGCCGTATATGGACAAAAAAGCTTTATGTCAAGGTGTGACACATCTAACCCATTCAATGCTGCTATAACTTCTGCTCTTTGGTGAAAGTCGTTTTCGCTAATGTCATCATTATTGTAACTTGTCGTGACATGTGCTTCATATATCTTCTTTATTGTGACTCCATTCTTTTCTTGGTTTTGGATTGTAGTATCTTGAAAGTGACTAGGATGATCAGCTCTGGTTGTGCACGAATCTGTTCTTGCCACCACGTCACATTGTTAAACAATGTCAGCCACTTGTATAGTAGCATGTAATGAGGATTTCTTCTGGTCAAGATGCACTTCGCCAAGTATTGAAGCAGATCCTTTTTGTGAACAAGGACACCAATAGTGTAAAGGTGTGCCAAATACCAGAACACTAGATATGCTTTTATTGAAAATCTTCTATAGTGAACCGAATTCAGGTTTATGGTGGTGAGAAATGGATACATCGGGTCATAAGATAAACCAAGGAGTGGTCCTTGATCAAGACCATTATCCAGCATCTTCTCCTGTAAGCCTTGTGGCATTCTTGCGATCATGCTTCTTAAAAACCTATTATCCATTTGGCGCCGTTGCCAATTGGGTGTTTGTTTGTTACATTTGAGATTTCACACTTGCTTAGATCAAGTTCTTTTTCAATTTTCAATTCAGTTACTAACTGTGTGTTTTTCTTGTTGTCTTCTTGATCCAGGTACAATTCTGCTGCATGCAAACTCGATCAACAGGCAACCAGAACCTCCTCTTCAACGACAACTTCGACCGCGTAACTCGCGAACTCAGAGAAAGGAGAAACACAGTCAACCTTTTACCCTAACAACCACTCGAAATGGTTGACGAACAAAATCAACAGAATGGCCCTGCCAACATTGGTGCTGAAGATGCACCACGAGATCACCGTCAGAGGAAAGCAAATTGCACCACCTGCTATCCAGAACAACAACTTCAAGATTAAGAGTGGTCTCATCTCGATGACTCAGGGGAACAAATTCCATGGTCTGCCAATGGAAGATCCACTCGACCACCTTGATGAATTCGATAGGCTCTACAACCTAACAAAAATTAATGGTGTCGGTGAAAACGGATTCAAGTTCCGTTTGTTTCCATTCTCCTTGGGCAACAAAGCACACATCTGAGAGAAGAATCTACCACATGACTCAATCACCACCTGGGATGATTGCAAGAAGGCTTTTCTAGCAAAGTTCTTCTCCAACGCCAGAACTGCAAGACTCAGAAATGAAATTTCTGGCTTTTCACAGAAGCTTTCATTTCTGGCTTTTCACAGAAGACTAGTGAAAGCTTCTGTGAAGCATGGGAGCGTTTCAAGGGTTACACCAACCAATGCCCTCATCATGGCTTCAAGAAAGCCTCTCTGCTCAGCACTCTTTACAGAAGAGTTTTACCACGCATCCGAATGCTTCTAGATACCGCCAGCATGGTAATTTCCAGAACAAAGATGTTGAAGAAGGCTGGAAATTGGTTGAGAACCTTGCTCAATCAGACGGTAATTACAACGAAGATTGCGACAGGACCATCAGAGGCACAGCTGATTTTGATGACAAACACAGGAAGGAGATCAAAGCGCTGAATGACAAGCTGGACATGATTCTTCTTAGCCAGCAGAAGCATGTGCACTTCCTTGTTGATGACGAGCAGTATCAAGTCCAAGATGGGGAGGGGAACCAGTTAGAGGAAGTTAGCTACATCAACAATCAAGGATTCAAGGTGGCTACAAAGGATACAACAATTTCAAGACTAACAACCCCAACCAATCTTACCATAACACCAACGTTGTAAATCCACAGGATCAAGTGTATCCTCGACATCACCAACAAGGTCAGAACAAACCTTTTGTTCCCAAGCAGCAATCCGCATCTACTTCTGCTCCCAAAGTTACGGGACTTCCAGGGAAGTCAATTCAGAATCCCAAGGAGTATGCTAATGTTCATGTTATCACCATAAGGAGTAGAAGAGAGTTATCCACTAGAGAGAGACCCAAGTCAGTCACTAAGGACAGCGCATACCAAGATGGGGAGGATTTCAGTCTCAATGAAGATCAAGTTGACAAACCAACTGAAGTACTCGAGCCCATACTCGACCTTGATACTCGACCAACAAATCCATTAACATCATCCGCTGCTCTAAAACTAGTTGCTGCTAAAAACAGTGAGACATCATTCATTCCTCCTCACAAGCCCCCACTTCCATTTCCTGGTCGACACAAGAAAGAGTTAGAAGATAAGTACAGAGCTATGTTTGCCAAGAACATCAAGGAAGTCGAATTAAGGATACCTCTTGCTGATGCTCTCACGCGTATCCCGGATTCCCAAAAGTTCCTCAAAGACTTGATCATGGAGAGAATTCAAGAGGTTCAGAAAACAATAGTTCTGAGCCATGAGTGCAGTGCCATCATACAGGAGAACGATGTCTCAGAAAAGCTAGGAGACCCTGGTTCATTCACTCTACCATGCTCCATAGGTTCATTGACTTTCAATAAATGCCTTTGTGACCTAGGAGCATCAGTAAGTCTAATGCCACTCTCAGTAGCTAAGAGGTTGGGTTTCAACAAATATAAATATTGCAATATCTCCTTGATCTTGGCTGATGGGTCTGTTAGACAACCTCATGGGTTATTAGAAGATTTCCCTATCAAGATTGGAAATGTGGAGGTGCCTATAGACTTCATAGTGTTGAACATGGATGAAGAACGAAAAGATCCCTTGATCTTAGGAAGGCCCTTTTTGGCTACAGCTGGAGCAATCATAGATGTTAAGCAAGGAAAGATTGATCTTAATATGGGGAAGGAATTTAAAATGAAGTTTGACATCAATGATGCTATGAAGAAGCTGACAATAGAAGGACAGACCTTCTTAGTTGAGGAAATGGATCGGCTAGTTGATTAACTGCTCGTGGAACTTGAAGAAGCAAATAATTCAAAAACTGTTTTGACCAAGAGTGGTAAAGCTGGGTATCTCCCTAGTGAAACTTTGAGTTCTGAGAAGTCATTAGACTCACACAAGTCAGCAGTTGGCTCAAAGGTTTACAAGGGCTTGTTGGGGTCTGACATAAAGGTTATGAAAGCTAATGAAGTAAGTTCAACACATGCTCGACCAACTGATTCCACCAACAACTCGAAGAAGCCTCCAACTTGCCTTGAAAGCTCATGCTCGACCAAACAACTCAAGGCAAACACTCAGACGTCAGATGATTGGTTAGAACTCAAGGAGAGATCTAAATGGCAGGACAAAGCCATACAAGAGCTAACACATATTATGAAAGAGCTGAAAGATCAAATCAAGGAGCTCAATGAAAAAGCCAACCAAGTACCACTTAACATCAAGGACGCCCCTGACGATGGAGCTACTATTCTTGTCAGCAAAGAAGGATGTGAATTCACATCGAAATGGTCTAGAGGAGAAGGTTATCCTGATAAAAAAGAAGCTTACTGTGAGGACATGGCCACTGAGTACCCAATTGTAGACCTGTCAAGAAACCCTAATGAGTATGATGATCACTCTACTCAAGAAGGAGAGGAGACCTCATTTCCTCTCTTCAACCCACCCTAAGCCGAATGAGTATGAGAAGTCAAGCTTAGAGACTTAAAACAAGCTCACTTGGGAGGAATTCCCATGTCTATCTATGTACATATCTTTATTTTTCCTTGTTGTTTTTGATGCATTTGGTTAGTGTCTTCAGGAGATAAGTATAAAGAGCTGAGTGAAGTGGATTCTAGGTCTGAGGGTACAGTAGTATACTCGACCACAGAGCAATGAAAACTACTCGACCATGTTTTAGCTTACCCACGCCAGGAGATCACTTGACCGCGGTGCTGGATGCAGCAGAAGAATGGAGGTCGAGTATACTCATGGCAGTGCTGGCCGCCACAAAGGCAATGAGGTACAGTACCCACATGCTGGAGCTGAGACAGAACAGGGCGACTCTTCAATGGCCTGGGAGCAATCACAGGCAGCCATTGACGACCCACTCCGTTCATTCTTTGACTGAGGTAAGCGCCTCACTTCACCATTGTACTATACCATCTCTTGTTTATATTTTGTTTCTGTGATTTGACTTGTCCTGAGTACTCTCTTCCAAGTTTAGTCACACAGTGGACTATGTGATTTAAGTTTGGGGGAGGGCTCAGGAAGTGTGTGCTACATTGTATATACTCTTGAGTTGAGTCTGCATTCATTTAAGGCATAGAAAAAACCAAAAAAATTGAAAAATTTCAGAAAATGATTTCACAAAAACAGAGTGTTCATGTAGTTGCATTACATTTAGGATCGAGTCTAGAGTGTTTTATTTAGGATTGTTGCATATGCATAGGGGACAATGCGGAGATAACCTTGTAAGCATGATGATTCACTAAATGAGTTATTAGTTCTCTGATGCATTTGAATGACTTTGAAGTAAAACCGCACCATGTTCTATAGAAACCACTCATTGCATGTCATGACACCTTTTCCTGTCAATTTGAACTTGAATCTGACTTATAATTATCATGTTTGCATCGGTTTTGAACTCATGGATAGAATATATATTTGGATTTTCTTTCACTTATTCACCACTCTTGCTAATCCAAGTAGCTGCTTCTATTATTGGAGTAGTTCCCCCACCCTTAACCAACCCTTCTTTCAAGCCATGTTATTTGTGAGAGCATGTGAGGCCTATTTTCAGGACTGAGCTTGGTAGAACGTGTTAGGTTTGAGCCGACAAGAGTAGTATCCCATGTACTTCCAAACCGCGTTTTCGGACTTGGTAGGACTAGGTGGGAACTTATTTGGGAATTGAGATTGAATGTGAAAAGAAAAGAAAGTAAACGAGTTATAATCTTTAGGAGAAGGAAGCTAAAAATCATATTGAGGTCTAGTGAATGTTTGGGAAGCATAGAATTGATAAGATATACTCTAGAAAAAAAAATGGCAACAAAAACAGAAAAGAAAAGAAAAAAAAAAATCATAAGAGCCATTAGAGTTTAAGAAAAACTCAATTCACTAGACTAGACTCATAGAGTTTACGAAAAGCTTATCCTTAAGAGCAAGAGCCAAAGAAATGAAAGGAAATGTTTTGATCCAAGAAAAAATTGAAATATGCCTTTAGTGCAAAAAGGTAGACTTAGGATCATCATTGGGTTTAGAGATAGGACCATCTACTTGTTATTCACGGTTTGTGTCATTGGGTAGATGGGGTGCTATTCTTGTATGCATAGGTTGGCACTTACCTTTAGCATTCTTCTAAAGCTCAGTCATTTTTCATTGAGAGTCCCATGTTATTAAAGTCTGAACCATCTTAAAGGGACCATCTTTGTCTCATAACCCGTCCTTAACCAAATGAGTTCACTAGCGATGCATATCTTGATTCATGTTCTTGAACTTAATGAATGTTAAAGTGATTGGTTGATCTTGACGTATTGTGCAATTGAGTGTGAATTTGGATCATAACAGAGCATGACTAAAGTTTTTAAGTAGAAGTCGATCACCTCGCATTTTAGAACTGTTAGCTTATAAATTGATCTTAATTGTCATGTCTTATGCTTTGGTTCGGAGTCCCCACTTTCAAACCTCACCTCCAGCTTGTTCTTAATTGTTTGCTTGAGGGCAAGCAAATACTAAGTTTGGGGGAGTTGATAAGTGTGCATTTTTTACACGTTTTGAGCATCCATTTGTCATCACTTTAGCATCATATCACCACTGTTTTATACCATTTCTCTTCATTTGTCATCACTTTGCATGTTTAGGATAGTTTTGCATGCATATTGCATATTTGTGTTGTTTTCAGGTGATTTTGAGCTGCTAATGAGCTAATTGGAAGAAGTGGACCTGATCAAATCAACATACTCGACCACGAGCTCGAGTACAGTCATCCTGGAGTTCCTGAAGTACTCGGCCACAACCTCTACAACAATTCACTCGACCAATCACTCTACCAAAAGGTAGAGTATCACCATCATCATTCACTCGACCAATCACTCTATCAACATGGCCGTCTCCCACCATCATCACTCGACCAATCACTCTACCAACATGGCCGAGTATCACCATCATCATTCACTCGACCAATCACTCTACCAACAGGTCGAGTATCACCACCATCATTCACTCGACCAATCACTCTACCAACGTGGCCAAGTATCACCATCATCATCCACTCGACAGAATACTCGACTGCTAGCTTCAGAGTCTTCTCCATTCTGCACTCAACCAGACACTCGGGCACAAGGAAGAGAAGAAGACTCCAGCTTATCACTCGACCAATCACTCGACCACATGGGTCGAGTGCCGTTCTTAATCCGTCCCAATACTGTGTCGTTTTGAGTACTAGGGTTTCAGAATATTTCGCTATAAATAGCATGTATTTTT